GCATATGCTTATTTAGAGTGCGCTATTCTTTCGTTGCATGCCATTATTCACTAGGCCGCGCTGCTTGTGTACGACATGACCAGTAAGGGTTGGTCTTGCAAAGCCTCGGCGCGAGCTCTCCGATTGAGCCTTACAAGAACGAATCCCACTCGAATATCTTACGAAATTACGAAGCCCCCTTTGTAAACGGTACAAACGCGTGCGAGTAGGACAAGCATTGCAATGGTGTTTACTTGGAGCGCGTTTTCTTTATCAAGATGTAATCAGGGCCCTAGTAAGGAATAGAGGAAGTGCTTTAATCTGGTTATTGTGCTACAAGTTGGCCAAGGGGTGCACAGAAAGTGTTCGTTATAAGGGAAGCAAAATCATTAAAAGCAAAAAAGTGTCACAAAAACTTTTTTTATTCTCATAACATTCTACTTCTTCTACTCTTTATTTCGCATCCTTACGCCAACTTTGGTGGGTGTTCATTGCCTATTCGTTCAGAAAAGTCGGTTTATCTGGTTATTGTGGAATCCCTTTAAATTTGGCGTGCAAATGCCCAATCCTCATGCGTGAACATCTCCGCTAGGAAGGGGAGGAGTGCTTCAACACTCGTCCTGTTGCGAGGACGGTCAGATTTAATAATGAACTCCAGGCTCCATCTTGAACCTTATACGATTCCCCTTTGCTATTTTAACAAAACAAGCTTGCCCTCCGGAGACGTGTCGCCGAGATCTGGGTCTTGCTGCTTCATGCCTTGTCTTGCTCCTGGGTTGTTCTTACGCGCCGAACTTTGGTCCTATGCAAAACAGAATTTTTGAATGCGGCTCATCTACAGAAAATTAGGATATCTTCGAAATAATCGTGTTCTTATCCGCTGCGCGAATTGTCTACCTTTGTATTTGATCATCGGGTTTGTTGCTAAAAACGTCAGGAGCAAATCCTTTGAACGAACACACTACACATTGGCGAAGTGATAGGCACATCATGCTGTGCTTCTGAAGCGCTCTGCTGCGAAGACGAGTTATAAGACACCTGCTTCTCTCCCCTCCCCAACTTAATTTGGGTACACACTCAAAGGTGGGAGCGTTAAAGTGGCTTTACGTTGATTTTGTTTGTAGAAGAAGATGTTTCTATGCAGCTATTTCGAATTGCAGAGGATGCAACGTGATATGAGATTTCTTCCATTATGTACATCGCGTTGGTCGATTAGTAAAACGGATTTATAGGAATTGTAATATTAATTGTGAGCAGCAACAACTTGTTCCGATAGAAACTGGCAAAACTAACTTTACTATATATCTGACCGAGTCGAATTATTGTTCGGCCATTCGAATTTGAGCCATTTATTAATCAAAATTCCTTATTTTCAAATAATTTGAGGATTTGAATATTCGACGGGTTATCAGTGCTCGAATATCTGAGCAAATCGTTTGCTTGAATATTCGAACACTATATTCGATCCGTGTTCTAGGAAACTTAAACTCAAACCCATAATTTTGTAGATGCTGGGACTTCCCGAGACGGGTGAAATTCAGTGCTAAAGTTTTTATTTTCAGTTGAATATAAGTACTGGTGGACTTGCCACAGCATTAGTGGGAGCATTGTTAGTAAACGGGTGAAGACTCGGGCACAAACAGAGTTGTCCTAGCATAGCTTTGGCCTACTTTGAAGTGTGACCAACATAACGCTTCGAATTTTTAAGAGCACAAAATCATACATTTGGCGCTAACATTAGCCATGCTGATTTTGCCTTTTTTTGGTCTAGAATAGGACAAAAAAGGACGGAAAAGCTCACATCACGGCCGATTTTAAAAATTTTATTGCTTCAGTGGTTGCGCCTAATAATATTGCTCAACCAGTTATTCCAAGTGAAACTTCAGCCTTTTATTTCAGATCCTCTCGCAACCCTTGTTTAAAAAAATTATTTTGCTACAACGGGAGTAAATGAAGACATTAGGACGCACATCGTCTTTGAACATGCTGCCGTGGCTGGTATTTTTTGCTTCGGATCCTGACTCATAACTAGAAACCATCTGTGAACCTGTGTGTTTGCGAATTATTGCATCAAACGCTGCACTTTTACTAAGCCTTTTAACATGTCGCGTAAAAAGCATTCTTTATATTCTGAATGCCTAACTGGAACATTCCCTTATTCTTTCGTACTGTTCGTCAGGGAAAAAAGTCATTAGGAAGATGGACTTATTTCTGAAAAATTATCCTTTGCAGTCTGATCAAGACCATTATGATTAAGCTTGCACGCAAGCTGCTGGGTAGTTGTGGTGATTGCTGGATTGCTGTGCTTCTTTTTGTAAAGTGAGCAGGTGCTTTTGAAAAATAGCTGAATTTTCTTTGTGGTTTTCTAGAAATGGAAATCACTCAGTAATTGTTGGAATTGTGATACTAATTGACTAATCATTGAGACTGTGAAAAAATTGAGCTTATCAACGGCTAAGGGGAATTATTCAGAGGAATGCCTACATTAATAGTGATAGCACCGAAAAATTTTGTCGCTTTCTGCGATACTGAGAAGAGTGAGATGCAAATGTTCGTAAATTCATGGTCTGTTCGATTGATGACCCACGGATGCTGCTTTATTCGCAACAGCAGTTTCCGGGATGTTACCTGGAACTGGCAACCTCTCTTTCCCTGTAACCATGACTTGATGAAAAACAAGCACAGTAAAATCGCAGGAGAAATAGAAGAAATAAAGCTAAGTTGTCAAGAAATTTGGTGCCAGAGAGCAGCGCTTTTAATGTTGATTGCGGACCAAACAAGCTCAAGCTTAGAGGAATACTGCTTATATTAGACTGTTGCGAAAACGATGGGAAGTTTCCTTGTAATGTTATATTTATAAAGAAAATATATCTGTCCAGAAGTTTTTTTTTGCGCAAGAAGTTGTTTAGATGTTCCGAAGTAGTGATAGTATATTAGCGAGAAGTCTGGCGATTATGGTGAGAGAAGCTAGTTTCCGTAGCCCAACTAATTTGATTTCTCTGCAGGATAGAATGTGCATTTGTGGTCACGCTGTGTCGCACTATAGATCTACACAATCGAGTTCAGCCCGGCTACAAAATTCTTCTTTAGTCCCAAACTTTCTGTTTCTCTCACACTCTTAGGCGTTTGCCACAAT